TAGAGATTCATCACTTGAATGAAGTGCTAATTTTTAATATGCTGATGAAAGGAAATATTCTCTGAACAGGGCAGAAGCAGATATAATACAGTAAATATTGCCATAAATATTTATGGCATGATTGAGTGGGGTGAAAGAGAAAGGAGTCAGCTCGTGAGAACTGCAGCGGCAGATGAAGGGGACTCAGGCGGCTGAGGAGGCGGCGTCTGGCTGCTGGAGACCCGTGAGTCAGCCGTGAAGTCCGCACGGAACCCCACAAAGCCTGCGCGCGCAGCTCGGTGACCGTCTTAGGCCTGGTTTCATGAGCTCCTGAAGGCGCCCATTTCTTTGTCTAAGTGTATGTATGTAGGAAACCCTAGGTCTCTAAGGGCTCAAGCTGTCCAAATTGATTTAAAATGTTTGTCAAGGATTATCAGAATAGGGTCGGCTCATTTAGATTCTGAAGGAAAGAGAGATTATTCATTCACAGTCACATTTCTTTGCTTTTCCAACATGGCCTATTCCTAGATAAAGAGAATTATAAAAATACGGATAAAGTTTAGCTGAGTAGAACTTATTGGGAATGGCTATAAATGTATATCTCACTTTATAAAATTCCTCTTTAGAAAGACAAAAATAAGTACACTTTTTCTTTCTAACTGAACAATGAATGGATAATTGGTAAAAATAAGTAGATACCTACTGTGTCTCCACTGTGGGCCACCCTTTGTCTGGGAGCCCAGGAGTGAGGCCACGAGGACCTTGTCCTGAGCAGCAGTGAGTGGACATGGCAGGAGCGAGGGACCTGGGCCATGTTTCAGGGGGGCCTGAGGACTGGGGTCCGGGAGCAGGCTGGGGGTGGCTATGCTTCTGGGGAAGGAGAGGTGTCCTGCAGAGGCAGGGTGAGTGCACAGGAGAGCCCAGATCTCACAAGATCAAAGAGGAAGCTGAAGACAGAGGCGCAAAACAGCGCTTCCCGTGACAGCGGTCTGATCGGCCACCACTAACAGCCGCCCGACTGAGGAAACAAGCCAGAGATGCAACGGGAAGTTGGGAAAGGCTCTCATCAGAAGAAAATACAAAATGAGAATCAAAGATGAGAGTTTCTGAAGATGCATCGCTAAAAACATGACCATGAGGCAGAAGAAAATCGAGCACGGTGCTAGACGTTAGAGTGAATGTCCTCGCCGAGCCTCTGTGGTGAGCAAGAACAGCTTCTATTCAGCTACACAGAAACGGACAAAGACAGCAATAATCAAATCAACGAAAAATTGTAGCATTGAAGAAGGACAAGAAATTAACCGAAAACATCACATTAAAAATTAGATAAATACAGAGGGAACAGAGTGAAAATGGTAAAATGGAAGAGCGACAAAGTAGAATCAACACACATGTAACAACATCTAAAAACAGTTGTTTCGTATATTCTGACCAGTTTTCCAGTTCTTTATGTCCAAAGGTTAAGCTTGGCCCAGTACTCATTGTAACTGGTGACAGAAGTCAATGTCTATCATTGTTTAAATTAGGAGAAAAAACCCAATGTTTTATGTTTTTCTTATGAAATACATTTTTAGAAAAGTCTTGTTTAATTGAACAAATAAAAGGATGAACAGGGAAAGAGAGGGATGGGAAATGGTTTCTTGGCTAAATTTTAAATGGAATTTAACATGGCCACCTTCCCCCAGATTTGTGTGATCCTTAGCGTGCTTTCCTTTGTTTTTGCTTGCGTTTCTACTGTCAAAGTTCTCATAACAACATGCTGTGCTCTGGGTGTCTGTGTCTCTCCAGATTCACATGTTGGCATCTTAACTCCCAATGTGATGGTGCTGGAGGTGATGAGGGTGGGGTCTTCCTAAAGGGATGAGGTCCCTGGTGAAGCAGATCCCAGAGAGCTGTCCCCCGCCAGGTGAGGACACAGAGAGAAGACCCCTGCCCCCTGCCAGGTGAGCACATGGAGGGAAGACCCTGCCCCCCTTGCCCCACTCCCCTGGATCCTGACCTCAAATGTCAGCCTCCAGAATGGAGAGACATCAGTGTCTGTTGTTTTACAAGCCTGGTCTGTGGTATTTGGCTGTATCTGCCTCAACTATGACAAAACTCATTATTTGCTTTCAGCCTTAAAATTCTGGTAATTTTACTTGTAGGAAAGAAACTTCTTAAAACAGCACATAATCTATCACTGGGTAGTGATCTGGTGTCCTTTATCCTCATCAGACATAAGTTTCTCACACTGATGAACAGAATTTCTTGCATGCAGTGGGTGACTCAAATCAGACAACACTGGATTTTAGAAGGTGGTAGAATCCCTCCATTTTCATCATTGGATTAAGATGTAGCAGCAAAAGCAAAACCAGAGTCCTAGAGCCACATGTTCTTCTTTTATTAAATCATGAAATGCATTTTTAAGTGTCAAGAAGAAAACTTCACAATTATTAACGCATATACAATATATGTATTAAATTCCAACTGAAACATCTAGGCTGTCATTGTGAATAGAGATATATGAAAGTAAATGTTCTTTCATTCTGACTTTGAATTTTCTCAAGATGGAAAATTCTGAGTTGCAAAATTATTTCTACTATGAATCATGGACATATTTATTTTATGATAAATAGCAGATCTGTAGCTAAGTATAGTTTCACCAGAAAAATAATGTAAAAAAAAGTTTTGGCTCAGATTTCCACTTCAGATTTTGATAAGAAATATGTATCATTATCACTTTAAAAGTTTTATATGAAGATTTTGAGCATGAAGGTTGAGTTTCAAAAAAAGGTATTTTTAGGCAAACAAAAAAAGTTCAACAGAAAATAAAATATAAAACAGAAATGTTACAGTTGTTATGTAGCTAAAGTACATTTAAAAAGTATTTTGCATATCAAACTACAATATTTAAAGTTCTGTGTGAATCTGTTAGAAGCTGCTCTTCAGAGGGTTCTGATTCAATACTATAGGACGTGTCTGAATGATGCCTCTATGCACTGGACGTGTTTCCATTGTTCTGCTACCATTTGGCAACACAGAGCCCTCACTCTAAGAAACAGACCAGTCCTGACCTGTTTTTCTTATTGGAGTCCCTGCCCCAGGGGGTGGCTGACTATTAGAGATTTTCCTTCTCTTTCTAATCTTACATAAAATGTTAAGTGTGAGCTGACCTGGGCACAGAAGCTTCCGGATTGACCAAGACATTTATTCAGCTAGTTAGAACCAAAAATGTTGTGAAAACAGAACACCGGCTGTTTCAAAAACATGCAGGGTGAAGATGGCTGTGGAAGCAGAGCAAGCGCTGAATTTCCCGCTGGACAGGCACGGGCTCTCGTGTGCGCTTTCGGAGAAGCTGTAGGCTGTCCCTGTTCATCCGCAGAAACATTCTCTTACAGTAGAGACAGTCCTGTAAGAAGTTGAACACAAAGCATCAATGTAACATTCCCATCCATAATTAATAAAGATATTGTGAGCTGATGTCTATAAAGAACTGACTTCACTCACAGATGCTGAGTTACTCTCTGAAGCTCTTCACATATTGAACTCCAAGGAAGCAGGTGACTTTGCGAGCACAGACTTCAGAATTGTTTGTATCTCCTAAATGTTTACCATTTCCATTTGCTACTGAAAAATTATCCTGTCAGACATGGTTACTGAGGAAACATAAGCCAATTTCACTTTATTTTGTGGGCTGCTCTTTCCAGTCCGTGAGTGGAGACAGCCTCCAGAAGGCTATGCTTCTGAGTCCCCTGCAAGCAGGGGGCTGCATTTCAAGCCCCAAGTGTCTCAGATAAGTCTTCTCAAACATCTCCTTCCCTTCAGACAGCGGAGTTCTTTGAACTGAGCTAATTACCATATAAAGGACAAGCTTTCCTTTTAAAGGACTTGACACATTTCTGACTTCACATCCTCTGGGAATGACCTTGGTTTCACGGTGCCTCCAGCTCAGGATGCGTGTGCTGTGATGTCCTGTGCTCTTGAATAAAGGAGATGCTGGTTGTTTGGATGTAAGGGAAGCCCTCACGCCATCCTAGTCTTGAAAAGGAGCGAGGGCTTGTCATCAGCCACAAGGTCGCCGTGTGGGATGCGGACTCCCACCTGTCTCACTGCATGATCTGCTGAACTCCCAATAGTGACCTGAAAGACGTTTTCTAGCTTTCAGTTTCACTTGAGCATTTCCAGAGCCAGCCTTTGCCGTCCTCCCCAGTGAGAGTGCTGGTTGCTTTCCTGGTGACCCGGAGCCCGGGACTCTGGCCACCAGCCGGCCGCCCGCCCGCCTGCCCCCGACCAGGGCACTGCCTGCAGTCTCTGGCCCGTTGCTGTGCGGCTCAGAGGATTGAACCGCTGCTGCAAATAAACGAGGGAATGGGCACATTCTGACCTTTGTGTCCTCAGGTCACGCAGCCTAGAGTATCGGCCAGGCTCAGCTCAGCGGCCACAGAGGGCTCAGAATCAGCTGCGAGGCTGGAGCTCCCCGGGGCCACCGGCCGTGCTTCCTCAGTCTGACTGCCCCACGGGACTCGGCTCCAGGTCCTGGCTCGTCCTCCAGTGACCCCTGTGCTTTGGGCTCTGACTCAGGGGAACCAGGGGGGCAGGGGGCTGGGGGGGGCTTTGAGGCTGAGTGTGTGTGGGGGGCAACAGAACTGGGTGGTGAAGCTTCCCTACTGACAGACACACTCTATGGTAGGAAAGCTGGGAATGTTTAATGCGAACCTTGAGGATCCTGTAGAAGTAAAGGTATTTTTTAAAGACCATCTTGCTTGTTTCTGTTTGTGCTGGGTCTTCCTTTTGTGCACGGGTGCTTCTCCAGTCGGGGCTGGGGGCTTTGCATTGCAGGGAGGCTCGCAGCGGAGCGCGGAGCCCGGGCTCAGCAGCTGTGCAGCGCCGGTCCAGTTGCTTCGAGCACGTGGGATCTTCCCTGCCCAGAGGTTGAACCTGTGTGGGCAGGTGGATTCTTTGCCACTGAGCCACCAGGGAAGCCCAGTAAAGGCATTTATGCTCAAGGAAAGGCAAAGTGGCTCCAGCAAGCCCCCCGAAGGATGCCCGAGGCCCGGGCCCCGCAGCTCTCTGTCGGGGCTGCGTGAGCAGGGGGCACTGGCAGCTCCCGGGCACTGCCGCCTCCCCGAGGCCACCACGGCCCAGCCTCGGAGTCTGTGGGGTGAATGCACCGCCTGAGTTCATGCTGAGATCGCTGCAGCCCAGCAGTTGTCGCCAGCAATTCCTAACAGGGGCCACGTGTGCCCTCACCCTGAGTGGACGGGTCTCAGCAGAGCCCAGAGGATGACCCCCCTCCAGGGACAGCAGGAACTAGGCTGCAAACGCGTGTCCTCACGGAAGGTCCTGGAGCTTCCCTGCTCACTTTATAAAAGGAAACCCAGAGAGTGCCTCTTTGGAGGCGACATCCGTGCCATCTATGGGAAGCGATTCCATTTCCTTGTATCCAACTGGAATCTCCGCAGACAGCGGGGCGCCCGGAGCCGTGGCCTGTGGCGTCTCATCCTCGGCTGGCCTGGGTCTACTGCCCTGCGTGGCTGGCGTCCCAGGAGGGGAGGAGGAGGACCGCAGCCTGCAGCTGAGAGCTCACATCTGTGCACCAACCCAGCCTCACAAATTGATTTCCAAAATGGAATCTGAAAACAGAGAGCACATGTGAATCGATAATGTGAGCTGTAGCTCACTCAGTTATTTGAGCTCCTGTAAGGGCTTCGTCACCGGATGGCAGTCCTCAATGAACTGAAGCACAGTCAACCTTTGACCTTCGGGGCTGGGGTTAAACTTGTCTAATGGTTGGTGATGAGCTAGTGATGAGAAGGGAGGCTGCTTGAGTAGTGAATTCCAGAGTTTCATTTAAAATGCATTACAGCTGGTAGATTTTCAGTGGAAGTTAACAAGTCTTCCTAGTGAGATTTTACTTTGCTGGATTATTTGCATTACATACATGTAGAAAAACACGGGCATAACTTGTGAACAGAGACACAAACTTTACTGTATGACTGCTCTTAGCTTCTCTCATCATAAAAGTAGAATTTTAAAGTTCCCCAAGTTTTTATTTATTTATTATGTATTGCCTTTCTCCTTCACATTAAAAGGTTTCTAAATTCCTCGGGGCTTTCTTGGCAGAGCATGAATGTATTTCATCTCTCAAAATAAAATGAAAACAGTACAGAGAAATGAAAGAAATATGGCTATTTGCACAGAACAGGAATTATACAAAAACACGTCTCACATTTTTAAATTGCAAGTTCTGTCAGTGTTGGGATGGAGATGCAGTGACCGAGTCTGGTGGAGCCTGAGGTCGTCACTCTCCCAGGCCTGGGTCAAGGGAGGGTTCAGGTCAGCCCCACTGACTTTTCTTTAGAAATGTGTCCCCTGAGAAGTCCCAGCCCGGTTCCTCTACTGACCCCGGGGCCTCCAATAGGGCCACCTGGTGGGCTGGACAGTGAAGTCGAGACTGGGATTCTGTTTGCAAAGAATCTCCAAACTGACCTCAGACAGTAAAATCTCTTGAGCACATGGCGTGGGGCGGGTACTTCATCCGTATTATCTTGTTCCGTCCCCACTTTTCTTCAGAAAAAAATGTGAATGTTGCACACTGCATGTGCTTCTTACTGTCAGACTGGTCTGAAATCTGGATGCAGAGGCGTGAGTCCAGGGGAGAGGGTGTTGGTTTGGAGACCCCAAGAGCTGAACATGTGATGTTGTCGCTGCATCAAGGTGACCTCCGGGAGCCTCCGTAGCGGGACCAAGCCCATAGCTGCTCAGGGGAGGTGACATGCAGGACAGCTTCAGGAGACCTGGCTTCACAGGGCTGACCCAGTGTGGCCGTTTTTGTCTCCCTGGGAAGCAGGGCCCCTGCACCAGGAGGCCTCACCCTCCCAGGACTTGGAGTTGGTGGTTGGCGTGGGGGATAAGGACGGGAATGGAAGCCGTGGCGCCAGCAGACCCTGCAGGCAATTGGCGGCGGGGACACAGGAGCCCGGGCCCGACGGCCGTTCCTACACTTTTGCCCCTTTCTCGCTCTCCGCCGTGGCTTTAGGACACCTGGCAGAAATTCAAGCGGTGACCCGGCCCAGCTCCCCCAGCCCAGGGCAGACGGGCTTTGCAGACACAGAAGTGGTGCTTTCTGATACCGAGTTTCATTAGCTGTTTGTCAATTCTGGAGGTTAATCCTGTGTCAGTTGCATCATTTGGAAATATTTTCTCCCACTCTGCAGGTTATCTTTTTGTTTCATTCATGGTTTCCTTTGCTGTGAAAATGCTTTTGAGTTTAATTATGCCTTATTTGTTTATTTTGGTTTTTATTTCCATTACTCCAGGAGACAGACCGAAAAGGATACTGCTGCTATTTCTGTCAGAGAGAAATATCCTGCCTATATTTTCCTCTAATATAGTCTTTATGACAAAGCTTCCTGGGTCGGGAAGATCCACTGGAGAATGGATAGGCTACCCACTCCAGTATTCTTGGGCTTCCCTTGTGGCTCAGCTGGTAAAGAATGTGTCTGCAGTGTGGGAGACCTGGGTTCAATCCCTGGGTCGGGAAGATCCCCTGGAGAAGGCAAAGGCTGCCCACTCCAGTATTCTGGCCTGGAGAATCCCATCGTCTGTATAGTCCATGGGTTGCAAAGAGGCGGACACAACTGAGCGACTTTCACTTTCACTTTTCAATACATTTTGAGTTTACTTTTGTATATGGTGTTAGAGAATGTTTCAATTTAATTCTTTTACATGTTCATTGCAGTGCTGTTTACAGTATCCAAGACATGAAACAACCTAAGTGTCCATCAACAGAAAAATGGATAAAGAGGATGTGGTACATATATACAATGGAATAATACTCAGTCAAAAAAAGAGAATGAAATGATGCCATTGAAGAAAGATGGATGGACCTAGAGATTATCACACTCAGTGTAATAAATCAGACAGAGAAAGACAAATATCATATGATATTGCTTATGTGCAGAATATTTCAAAATGACACAATTGAACTTATTTACAAAACAGAAACAGACTCACATAGAAAGCAAACTTGTGGTTACCACAGGGGTAAGTGTGGGGGAGAAACAGATCGGGAGATTGGGATGGACATGTACCCACTGGGAGAAGCTGGTGAAAGGGTTAGTTGCTCAGTCGTGTCCGACTCTTTGAGACCCCGTGGACTGCTGCCCACCAGGCTCCTCTGCCCATGGGACTTCCCAGACAAGAAGAGTGGAGTGGATTTCCATTTCCTTCCCCAAGGGTTCTCCCTGACCCAGAGATCAAAACAAGGTCTCCGGCATTATGGGCAAATTCTTTACCATCTGAGCCACCAGGAAAGCCCCCTGCTATTCACATACATTGTAGTATAAGCAACAAAGACCTACTGTGCAGCCCAGGTAACTCTATTCAATGCTCTCGATGACCTAGATGGAAAGAGGACCTGAAAAGGAGCAGACACATGTGCACTTTGTCGTTCAGTCTCTCATTCATGTCCGACTCTGTGACCCCATGGTCTGCAGCACGCCAGGCCTCCCTGTCCTTCACTATCTCCCAGAGTTTGCTCAAATTCATGTCCATTGAGTTGGTGATGTCATCCATCTTGTCCCCTGCCGTCCCCTTCTCCTCCTGCCTTCAGTCTTTCCCAGCATCAGGGCCTTGTCTAATGAGTTGGCTCTTCACATCAGGTGGACAAAGGACTGGAGCTTCAGCTTCAGCATCCGTCCTTTCAATGAATATTCAGGACTGATCTCCATTAGGATTGACTGGTTTGATCTCCTTGCAGTCCCAGGGACTCTCAAGAGTCTTCTCCAACACCACAGTTCAAAAGCATCACTTCTTCGGCACTCAGCTTTCTTTATAGTCCAACTCTCACATCCATACATGACCACTGGAAAAACCATAGCCTTGACTAGACAGACCTTTGTTGGTAAAGTAATGTCTCTGCTTTTGTAATATGCTGTCTAGGTTGGTCATAGCTTTTCTTCCAAGGAGCAAGCATCTTTTAACTTCAAAACTGCAGTTACCATCTGCAGTGATTTTGGAGGCCAAGAAAATAAACTCTCTCACTGTTTCCATTATTTCCCCAACTATTTGCCATGAAATGATGGGACCAGATGCTATAATCTTAGTTTTTTTGAATGTTGAGTTTTAAGCCAGCTTTTTCATGTGTAGACTATATATATACACATCAGTCAGTTCAGTTCAGTTCAGCCACTCAGTCGTGTCCGACTCTTTGCTACCCCATGAATCACAGCACTCCAGGCCTCTCTGTCCATCACCAACTCCCAGAGTTTACTCAAACCCATGTCCATTGAGTCGGTGATGCCATCCACCATCTCATCCTCTGTCGTGCCCTTATCCTCCTGCCCCCAGTCCCTCCCAGCATCAGGGTCTTTTCCAATGAGTCAACTCTTCGCATGAGGTGGCCAAAGTACTGGAGTTTCAGCTTCAGTGTCAGTCCTTCCAATGAACACCCAGAACTTATCTCCTTTAGGATGGACTGGTTAGATCTCCTTGCAGTCCAAGGGACTCTCAAGAGTCTTCTCCAACACCATAGTTCAAAAGAATCAATTTTTCATCACTCAGCTTTCTTCACAGTCCAACTCTCACATCTATACATGACCACTGGAAAAACCATAGCCTTGACCAGACGGACCTTTGTTGGCAAAGTAATGTCTCTGCTTTTTAATATGCTATCTAGATTGGTCATAACTTTCCTTCCAAGGAGTAAGCGTCTTTTAATTTCATTGCTGCAATCACCATCTGCAGTGATTTTGGAGCCCAAAAAATTAAAGTCTGATGCTGTTTCCACTGTCTCCCCATCTATTTCCACTGAAGTGATGGGACCAGATGCCATGATCTTAGTTTTCTGAATGTTAAGCTTTAAGCCAACTTTTTCACTCTCCTCTTTCACTTTCATCAAGAGGCTTTTTAGTTCTTCTTCACTTTCTGCCATAATGGTGGTGTCATCTGCATATCTGAGGTTATTGATATTTCTCCCGGCAATCTTGATTCCAGCTTGTGCTTCATCCAGCCCAGCATTTCTCATGATATACTCTGCATAGAAGTTAAATAGCAGGATGACAATACACAGCCTTGACATACTCCTTTTCCTATTTGGAACCAGTCTGTTGCTCCATGTCCATTTCTAACTGTTGCTCCCTGACCTGCATACAGGTTCCTCAAGAGGCAGGTCAGGTGGTCTGGTATTCCCATCTCCTTCAGAATTTTCCACAGTTTATTGTGATCCACAGAGTCGAAGTCTTTGGCATAATCAATAAAGCAGAAATAGATGTTTTTCTGGAACTCTCTTGCTTTTTTGATGATCCATCAGATGTCAGCAACTTGATCTCTGGTTCCTCTGCCTTTTCTAAAACCAGCTTGAACATCTGGAAGTTCACGGTTCACGTATTGCTGAAGTCTGACTTGGAGAATTTTGAGCATTACTTTACTAGCATGGGAGATGAGTGCAATTGTGTGGTAGTTTGAGCATTCTTTGGCATTGCCTTTCTTAGGGATTGGAATGAAAACTGACCTTTTCCGGTCCTGTGGCCACTGCTGAGTTTTCCAAATTTGCTGGCATATTGCATGCTTCACTTTCACAGAATTGTCTTTCAGGATTTGAAATAGCTCAGCTGGAATTCCATCACCTCCACTAGCTTTGTTCATAGTGATGCT